ACTAGTAACAAGGGCATTACTACTAGATAGAGAATACTAGTAACAAGGGCACCGTTACCAGTAACAAGGGCATGCCTCACAACTCCCAACATCTCCCAACCTTTGGCCCTGAAGATCACGCCCAAGCCTGCTGAGGGTTTCCCCACCAAGCCCACCTGAGGCGTGTTGTTCCCCGGGCGTGTCGTTAAGGGGTGTCCCGTTACCGTCCGTTTCGGGCGACCATAAGGGCTGCGCCTGAATGACCGAGGAGAAGAACAGTGCGAGCCATAAGGAGTTCGGGCAACGGTACCATCATTGTACTTTAATAACAATATCTAATCTCATATGATTCATATGATGTATCATCATTATTTATCTTGTATGATCATTATGTCATACTACGTCAATGTGTACATATATATATATACCAGCACCCTCCAACAGGTCTCCTCTGGAGGCTTTTACTGACTTAAAAGTCGCAGGTGGTAACCTGTTGGAGGGTGCTGGTATGTTTTTTGATCATATACAACATGCTGAATCCTTTTGAGCCATCTTGAAAATCCAAGTCTTCTGCTCCATTCACCACATTCCCTCCCCCTGACCTTGCCGAATCCAAAGAAAACACCCTATTCCTGCGCGGCACTGTAAAGCGCCATGGTTTTCCGTAGGCGCCGGCGCCACACTGTCGCGCCCAGGATCTGCTGCCAGAGCTGCCGTCCGGCAAAAGCTCGGCGGCCTTCCTGGTAAAAGCTCGTTGGATCTGGGCTGAGAGGGAATAGAACCGGCATCTCTTCGTTCACCCCTCTTTTGCCCAACTGTTGAGTTCCGAATCTGTTTTTCCAACATCCGCTGCAGCATCCAGCCCTGAAAAAAGGGCGACCTGATGCGACATGTATTCACATTGGCTTTACCAGGGTTCACCCTGTCAGGTCCGACCATGCAGCCCGAAGTCTCACAGCTCTCGTCCCAGATTTGGTCCTCGAAACCCGAACGCCGGTTAGGCGCGAAGAGGGATGCTCCCTGCCTTTTCGAAGGGGGTGTTTGGTAATGGGTGCCTCTCCACCACCCCTTGGTGGAGTCCTGGTATGTATATATTATATAGGTTGATTTCCTTCACAACGTGATTTACTCGCACGTCTATGTCGCAACTTTCAACTTTGAACTATTGTTTGCCTTGGTTGCCACAGCGGCCACCCACAGTGGCTCAGATCTGGATCCAGCTGTTACGTCGAAGCGGGAATCGCGGTGGTATCGAGGCTCTTCTCTGCTTGGGTCAGGAGTTCTTGGTCAACTTGCGCATCTTCACCTTTCTAAGGCGGCCAAGGGCACCGAGCACCGAACACCGAAGCCGCCAAGAGCGGAGTGTGTGAGTTGGGGGTTCGGAAAGCACGTGCAGCTGGTGAAGACATCACATCTCAGAGCCGTGTCACAGGTTGACCGATGGCCTGGAACTGTGGAACTTGGATGTTTGAGGAACTGTCCCAGAGTTGTAGTTGGTCTGGATCAGTGGGAAAGTATTTTTTAACACAGGATAACAAGGAGTGTCCAAAATCAATTTCGTGCGTGATGGTGGTCGAATAGTACTTCGTTTCTTTTGTATCGTTGGTAGCGTTGTAATTAGGGATGTTACTGAAACCAAACCAGCATGAGCCGACCGAATGTTCAGCTACATCGTCTTTTTTGGCATCCTGAAACCCTACATCCGGACCTCAAAAATTAACGTGTTGAGGGTCCAAACCCGTGGGTTGCAATTACCCAGCGGTTGTCCACTCTTTGAGTTCCTTTGCGTTCCAATGGTTCCTCCCAATGGTGTATGCGCACAGGCCTCCAACAACGCCAAACACAAAGCCAAAGGACAAAGCCACCAGGCTTCTGCAGGTTCGTCCTCTTCTGCAGTGCCATCCTCATTCCGGACACTAGGCATGAGCGAAACAACGGCAGGAAATCATGAAAATCCCACACCAGCAGCCCCTAACACCATGTACATCTCAACATATCTCAGCCGACCCACATGAATATGAACCATATATGTATGAATGCTTTCCAATGCCCAAACAGGAATTCCGACAGTGTTGCCAAACTGGGCTGCCATCACTGTCACGTCAAGAAGGTTTGGATTGCTTGGGCAGTGGGCGAAAAAAATTGAACATTCACTTCGTCACTCTTCCTGCGGCCCTGCTTCGCTTGGAAGACCTTGATCGATTGTGACCCCGTGCTCTTCAATCCATCGTTGTGCCTCCTGCAAAGGTTTTGCTGGCTTTGGCCCCAGCAGACCTCTAGGGCTTCAACCATTGGGCAATCGCAACGCGCAAAAGACATCCCCCCGAGCAGCCACCAGGTGTTTGGGCCCAATCATGTGCCCCTTGGTGCTGCAGGCATTACCCGCGCGAGTGTGCCATATTGCCTAGACGCTCCACCGGACTGCCATATATGCCAACATGGACCCCCAAGCCACCCCAATGTAGGCAAATATACTATACATGGAGCGTCTGGGTTGCGCCATCAATGAGCTTCCACGGATATCATGAATGTGCGGAGATTGAACATTTTAGCTCGCAAACCGTCAGTCAGCTGCACACCTGCACACAGTCAAGTGCCATCAAAAAAACGGCAAGCGCAGCGCCAAAGTGATACACGTTCCAGTCAAAAGAGCGAGCACGTGGGCGGGAAACACGCAGCAGCTCATCCTCCACATCCAAATCAGCGAAGTGGATCATCTGCATCTGAATCAACGAGACCATGTTGGGTCGTCGGAAAGGTTGCCTTTCCGGGCAACCCCCCCCCATTGACCCAACATGCTGTACCAAACAATTCGTTACCAAACATGACTTCTCCAAAGCCCACACGGCAAAGCAAATGCCTGCCGCACATCTTCGGTAGCCCCAAAGACTAAAGGTCTACTGGTCACTGGATTCCACTGACAGGCGGCGTGCAATAAAGCAGGGGCGATCAACTCGCCCACTCGCCCAGTGGTCTTTCACTTGCCCTGGTGATCCTTGACCTGACACTGTAACTTCATGAATATATATATATATATATACGATATATATATATATATATACAATATATATAATATATATAAGCAGTCACTGTCATCAGTGCGCTTTGGTCTTCTGGAGGTGGCCCAGGGCCCACCTCCAATGAGCAGGAAGAAACCGTCCGAACTCAGTGGAGTCCATGGCATCAGTTCATCCACAGTCCCTCAGTCCATGTCGCCCCCCCCTAGTCTGTGGCCACTACTCGCCCACGAGCGTGGCCTGAGAGCGCCGACAAATGCGGAAACCGTGGGGGGGGAGCGAAAAAGAGCAAGGCTCCTTTGGTAGGGATTTGCTGTCGCTGGAACACACATTCCCCAGAATCAGAAGAGGATTTATAAGGACATTGAAAAATGGCTAACATCAGCGAAACCAGGGTATAGATTCTCGGCTGTCCGGGTGAGTGTCGTTGGCATCGAACATCACCGGAAGGACATTAACTCATGGGCTCGTCGAAAGCAGCACGGGAAATACATCAACAATCATCAACACATGGGACGGATCCAAAACCTAGATCGTCCAACGATCAAAAGGTCCTGCCGAACTTGGCTGGTTTCAAAGGATGAAGTTCGGCAGAATCGTTGCACAGTTGGAAAGGTCTCGGAACCTGGTTGGAGGCCAGCGCTAGTAGAACAGATTCAGCAGAAGCAGCTACCAAATGCATGGTTGACTCCGAGGCGGGGATCTGCTGTCGGGATCGGCCTCCTGAAATGGGGGTTGCCTGCGCATGCCTGCACTGCCTGCGCTGTGCCATTGACCCAGTCAAGTAGTATGGGATTGTCACTGCCCCCCGAAAAGCAACAGGATAACTACAGCATGAGTATTGGTTAGAGATGGCTAGAGGGCGTTCACTTCCCTGTGGATCTTTTCGAAAGACTCAACCTAATTGATTTGAGGCTGAAGCGCTAGGAGTCACAATTATGCTCAAATGGCTTTGCTTGCGCTTGATCTTGTAGTGAAACAGGTGGAATAAGGAACCATCAAGAACCATCAAGAGGCCTATCGCTAAGAATTCAACAGGCAACACTGAACATCAAGCCGCAAGCTGTGCCAGGACATGCACCTGTCTATCTACTAACAAATGAACCTCAACGTATGCTGCACATATCTACACCCTGGAAAATTAACATGACATGGGTTGTAGAGGAAAATAGTTTTCCAAAGGTCTATTTTCAGGTTCCATGTGGGCCTCTTCCCGGGTCTAATTCAAATGGCCACCCATGCTCGGTCGCGTGACGGTCCCGTCCTGCACCATGGCCATGACACTCGGGAAGCCCTCTGGCTCCCGGGCGGCTTCGACCGCCTCTAAGAGCTCTCGCCGGCGCAGTTGGACACCCAAATCCTCCTCAGAGCAAAGCAGTTGGAGGCCGCTACCAGTTAAAGGCCGCTACTAGGTTGGAGGCCATCGCTGCAAGTCCAGTCTCAAAGGGATCACTGGCACTCCGAGGGACATGGAAATGGACGATGCCGGGCGTGCGGAAAAAAAAATCATCCGATACTTGGGGCCATGCCATCCACGTAACCAGGATGATTTCGGAGAGGCTCTCATCAGTATGATGCTTCTTATACATTGTAACAGTGGCAAGATGTCTATCCAACAGATGGGGATCCACTACTAAACCACCGAACTTGGTGATTGTGCCATCTACTCTCAATCCACTGTAAATCCCTATGGATCCACATACCTTCATCTCAGAAGGCAATTGGACCCTCCAAGCCGCAAGCCTGCATAAATAGTCTCCAATCACCTTCTCAGAAGGTATGTGGATCCACTGTACATGTTGAAAGGGGTGAGTCCTCCACCCACCGAGCTGGGCTTGCCGCACGCACGACTCGCCCTGCCCTGCGCCCCTGGCGCCTGTGCCATCGCGGGGAGGCAAGCGATCTCGCCAAGGGACGGAATCCAAGTCGCAGACACAGGGCACTTGTGGATACAAAGGCGGGAAAAAGAAACGCAAGGAGGCCCGCTCCTCAGCTCCAGGCGACCCAGGATTGAGAGGGGATATTGGGAGAAGAACACATGCATTGGCATGGTGTGCGAATGATTCCAGGAACTACACAAGTGTGCCATACTACATGGAGTGTTTGGGCTATGCAGTGTACATAATACGACGTTGCAATTCCTGGCCCAACAAGGGTTCTTAAACTTCTGGAGTCGTTGCATCTGTGTAGGGTGGTGAAAAACGAGCTCAGCACAAGAAGCTGCTCCTGTCGGGCCAGCCCAAGTTGAACATATACCGATATATACCGAAGACCTTCCAAGTATGCAACATTTCTGCAGAGCTTGGCTGGCTTCACCGATGCAATTCCAGACTTGTGCCACAGTTGGAAGATCTACAACAGTGTGAGAGGGCAGTTTCGTCCCTTGAATCTTTCAGCACCGGCCCTCGCCGCCCCCGGAAGCAGCTGCGAAACGCACCAAGCCGCGTGGAGGACCTTGACGGCGAGACGCACGGGGCAGGTGGGCTTGAAGATGGTCAACTCCTGCGTCTCGCGCGGAGCCCGCGGCATCCGGAGGGGCAAAGAAGCGCGTGGGAACGCGGGGCAGGGGGGAGAGCGAACTAAGAAGGTGAGGGAACTAAGAAGCTGGCAAACTTGAGGCTGTTGGCATGACTGGCCACTTGTGCGCGGAACATGGACCATCTACTTTCAGAAGAGGTGTTTGATGTTGACTTCAAGACCAGAAGGGCAAATTCAACACTGGCATCCACTAGCACCTCCTAGAATTGGAGCCAGGAGCCCCCGACGCTGACCCCCACACCGAACGCAAACCAAACTTCCTTTCCTACAGACCGAGAAGTGGATCAAGTAATGATCAAATCTGCTCGAAGCTGGCCGGATCTCCTCCATGAAGATGGAGGCCAAGGCCTCAACCTCATCTTTTTGCTCTTGGCTCAGCCGATCATCTGCCTCCTTAGGGTCAGGATGAGGAATTATATGGACACCGTTCATCGGCCAAAAGGGAATCGCAAGGGGGTCGAAGCTTCAGGACCCACGAGATGGGTGGTTTTTTGTGGACACCCCGAATTTCATCAGACACCCATAGACACCCCGATGGGGGGGGGCCGGAAGCTGGAACAGCTCGTTGAGCTTCCTGTGTCATTCCTTGATCCAAAGGCCGGTCGGCTTCATCCCACTGCACTGAGCGACTCAGCATGCTTACTGGAGCGACTTATGAGCGAAGGATGGCGAGTTCTCTGCGTCCGCATCCACAGCTTGGAGCATCCTCGTGTGTTTATTTTGCATGAGGACGCGCGATCAACATCTATGATGTGCGGCTAGTTCATCGTCTAAAATGTGAGCCCCTATCGTTTCCCAATGTGTGTTTCCCGTGAGTCCCCCAGCATTTGTCAGGCCTTGGGGCATTCCCAGCAATGAATGCAACGCTCTGATGCAACTGTAGTCTCGCAAATGTCGAAGGTACATCATATCAAAGCCATCACTATTAATTTAAAAAACAAAAACAAATATAACTATAACCATCCGGGAAGGCTGTAGTTTGTCCACGCTTGGGCCATCGAAGACCATTGCAAAAACCAAGTTTGGGCTTGCCACCTCCTCAAGCTGCCTCTCAAGCTTCCTTCCACACTTCTCGCAACCCCCAGCAATGACTTGACTGCCGAAGCTGAAAAAAACTTCCAGCATCTTCCAGCACCTCAGCACCGCCTGCAAATTCTCGTGAAAGAATTTTGACATATTCCAACCCACCAATCTTTCGCGCCACCCCTCCTGTCTCCTCCTGTCTCCACCGCAACCTGAGCCCGAGGGACGACCTCCTCCACACTCGCGAGCTCCTCGGGCAGCAGCTGCTCCCGGCGGAGCTCCAGAAACTCGCCCAGGCGGCGCAGATCCTCCGAGCGCTGCGAGAAGACGTGGCCGGCCTCGTGCTCCTGCGAGGCCGTTGGGAGGCCAAAGGCATCGATGAAGCATCCTTCTTTTCTCAGCTGACCAAGTATACCCTACTAGTGTGGGCTCCTGGCCGCCCCCTCCGATCTACGGTGGTTAGATGTGGGTGCTGCCCCAGTCACAGCACGCGAATGAATGTGAATGATATCAAGCTTCTGCTTCTCCACATGACAGACTTAGTGGGCCCCGAAAATCGGCGGCAAATCAGATCTCAACACTTGCATCCAACTGCGGCATCATCACCCACCTCGCAATAGGATCTCAGATACTTGCTAGCTACCCCGCGTCGCATACAGGCACCGAATCCTTTAATCTCATCTTGTCCCTTTTCGTTGTGGCTTTAGTCGGTTCTTTGTGCGTGAAGAGTGAAGAGTGTCACGGAAGTGACACATCACCTAAGGCCAGGGCCAGGTTCGCCCCGCCCCAGGTTCGCGAACCAAAGACCTCAAAACCACCTCGGCCCCGACCCGGTTGCTCCAGCCATTCGGCATTGGAAAAGCGGGCCGCAAGGCGCTTGCTTTCCTCCAAAGGCACCACGGTGTCCTCAGTGCCGACCGAGCACGGCACCAGGCCTGGCACCTCCGCAGATCCCACCCACACCAGCATCTCGACAGCCTCCCGCGCTAAGCCGGCCCGACCACGTTTTTTTGACACGTCCCTTCGCCTTGCTGGAGGCCATGTGCAGCGACTTCATCCCTTCCGTGGCGCAGGACTCTGTGAGCTCCGGGGAGGCCGCAAAGATTCCGAAGCGCAGCGAAGCAAAGGGCCTCGGGACAGTGCCCGTGAGCCCGTGAGCCCCACACCAATGGGACTGGACGAACGATGGCTGTACCAACCACGCTCAATGTATGCAAGTGCAGCAGCGTCATGGAGTGTCTGGAAGTGTGGTGACCCCACTCACTCTCGGAATGTCTGCTAACTTACAGAGTCTTGCTAGTCTTGCTTAGACATCATTTGGTTGCAGGTTGAGAGACCACCATGAATCATTCATCAGGGCCCTGCATGAGGATCATGGTGGTGTCATCAACAAACCTATTTCCTGGCCCGCAAACAGCCATTGAACAAAAATGGTAGGATGATGTTTTTTGGCCAGTGGAGGTGGCAGGGCATCGGGCATCATTGACATAGATGCAAGGGCTCCATGATGCTCACCTCCAGCTTTTTCTCAAAAGGGCACCAGTTCCAAAGTTTTGAGGTGCACTTGGAGTCCTGCAGCGCTGGTGGAACCAAAAGAATTCACGGTAATCAGTACTGCCAATCGACTGGGAACCGGGGCACTGCAACCCTCTACCCCCTTGCATGGTCCCTTAACTTTTCCCGTGGAATACTAATTATCTTCCTCATGTTTCCTCTACAACCCAGTTTTCAGAGTGCATTTTAATCTGCAGGAAGCGCATTCCAAAGTTCAAAAGTCGATGGAAAGAAACCACACTTCGGAAGAATCTTAGGCCCTGAGTGAAATACATGGCGACGGGAACACTGGCATTACCAACAACCTGAGACTAAGAATGATCACCAGTTACTATTAAAATTAAGCCTTTCAGGATTTCAACCTCCTACACCCATCTCAGAACTGGTTCAAATCCCAGCGACTTGTGGCATACCTCCATTTCAACCACCTCAGAAACACTGAGCCCAGAGTCTTGGGTCAACCGGAGCACCGACCTCACTCGCACGGGACCTCACTCAAAGCTGGATCCACTCATCCATGGCACCGTGGCTACGTCGACCCCGAGGACCTTGTTCCGAAAAGCGCGCACCACGGGCATAGGACTGCCGCCCCAAACAGACCCCCCTAACAGACCCCCCTGGCCGTTTCTCGGCATTTTTGTAACGCAGTCCCAGGCAGGTCGCGTCTGGGTGTTCATTCCACGAAAAGTCGCCGCGATGAGTTCAACGAGTGTCGACTGACACAGCACCTGGGAACCACCCAGCTCTGACTGACCGGACAGCACGTCGCTACGATCGACACCAAGTGTCGACTCGCCCTCCGAAGCCTCGCGGCCGCGGCGTTCGCGGCGGCGGCGTTCGCGGAACGGGCGAGTCAACGAGCACTGCCAGGGGCGCTTGGGGTGGTTCCTTCAGTTCGGGATCACCTGGCTGTTGCCGCCCCAGCCCACCACTTAGGGGATCTCCATTGAACACCCCTTGAATCTCCAGGTATACTGCTAATTACTAAAATACTGCTATATTTATATATAGAATTATATAGAGGGCCATTTTTGGACATAGGGGACCTTGGTCTTTGTGGGATAATTTCCAAGAGGCTGACCATCTCGCTCAACCACAGACTATGGCCATTACCAGAATCTACATGATCAAGGTGGACTTCAACTGCCTCAACTGATCTCATTGTCAGTAGGTCGATTGAATATTCATTTTGCTGTGAATACTGCCCCATGCAAAATGAATATTCAATGATGGAAAGGTAAGGATGCATATATGCATTGGGCATTGTCAATCGCATATGCCCCATGCATCCTTACCTTTCCATCTCGATGTAGTTATATAATGCTTCGTACACTTTAGCCTCGTGACCTCGTCGTGACCTCGGGTTCCCTGTGAAACTGGTCGCGCCATGTCGCGCCATGTCGCGCCACACGTGACCTCGACTGGCCTCTGTTCAACAGTTTCAAAATGGTTCCCCGTGAAAACCATGTGCTACTGCTAGCAACTAGCCTCACCGATTCTTAGAGCCCAAAGCCACCCAAATCCACCCCCCACATCCTCATTTTTTGAGAGACCCCACATCCACGCCACAACTAGACCCCCCTAGCCTTACCACCCCCAACCACGATTCCGCGGATGCACGGCTCACCTTCCGCGCGAGCACGCTTCCCACCGAGGGGCCCAGTGACAGGCCAGTTGCGCCACGAGTCCGCCTTCCGAGAAGCCCAGCACCCCCTCGAAGGGGCCCAACTCGCTCCATGCTTGGCTGAGCACCTGGCCGGTCCCCGAGACCAAGGCCGGTCCCCGAGACCAAGGCGGGTCCGCGAGACCAAGGCCGGTCCCCGAGACCAAGGCCGGTCCACGAGACCAAGGCCGGTCCACAAGACCAAGGCCGGTCCACGAGACCAAGGCCGGTCCCCGAGACCAAGGCCGGTCCACGAGACCAAGAGGAGTCGAGGCACGCGAAACAAGCGAGTCTGTTCAGCAGAAGTGGGTCTCATTGGGGTTAGGTTTTTGGTGATCCAGCAGGTCAATGTTGGCGTCAGTTGGTGGGAGGTGTGGCACCAGGATTCAAGTATCCCGGCGATCGGTTGTGTAGTGTAATTCGCCCACCGAATCACATCAGCAGCAAACAGCAACGGGAAACACAACACCCCTAACTGACTCCAACCCCTTGCCACCATCCAGGATTATCGATTAAAGTTTAAAGAAGTGCACTCCTTCCGGCTACCAACAAGGCAACAGAGTTGGTTGTCATGCACAAAATTGTGCCACACTGACCTTTCTAAGATTGGGTATAACAGTCTTGGTGAGACCAAAGGCAAATGAGTTAACCAAAAACCAATGCAACCAACAGAAACTGTTGTTGCATAACAACTCCTTCATGGCACCCAGAGTGAATGACATCATCAAGCAGCAAGCACAATCAGGGTCTTGATATCGGGTAGAAACCTGTTGAAACCAAAGGAAGGATCCACCTCAATGTGGACTCTTGATGCATCACCCCCGACCCCACCCCACCCAAAAGATCCTAAAAGTATTAATTACCATTAATTACCTAGCACTTCCCACCAACGGGTGCCCTGTCTGGAGACCTGTAGGGTAGTCGAACGCCAGGACATCCAGACAGGATGGCCCTGGTATAGTAATAGTATAAGAAGGCGGATGGTGGTGGTTTTACTAACTTGATCTACAGTAACTTGAGGGAGATCCCTGGAAGTCAAGTCGACCATGGCAGGCCACGACTTCTAGGGAACTCTTAAGAGTCCACACCGAGGACGCCGGAGTCCCGCGGCTCCGCCAGCGGTCGAGCTCGGCGCGTGCCTCTCGTATGCGCGGCGCGTGCAGCGATCGAGCTTCACCTTCCTCCCACCATCCTTTCCTGACCAAAGCGAGCCACGCGAGGGGAGGTCTAGTTTGAGCTCCTAGGTCGCGCGAGGAGGTAGCGATAAAGAAGCCTCACCATGGGAGGAACAAAGACATTAGGTAGCAATTATTGCTACTGGCCTTATAGGAAGCAGCACAATGTGCATTAGCGTGCATTAGTGCCTATTAGCGTGCTCAAGGACCCCTTCCTGACGCGACCACTCTTTTTGGCTGGAAAAGCTGGTTGTACCTGTCTGTGGGCCGGTGGGGAAAATGGCCACTAGATGTCATCTGCATCTCCCAACAGTTCGAGAGCTTTTTGACGCTTTGCGTCAAGCTCACTGCCTTCAGGCTGCTCAGCAGCTGGCTCCGGATCAACTTTGGTGAGAAAGCGGCCTTCATACTTTCGCTTTTCACCTTTCTTCTCGCCCTCTTCCAAGAGCACTTTGAAGTTGTCATTGGCGAGCACATTGACAACCGTGGCCAACTTGTCATTGTAGAAATCCTTTTGCTTCGTGGCCTTTGTGCGGACCTCTCCAGGAGATTGGGAAAAATCTTTCGAAAGAGAACGTGGTCTTTAGGCAATAACTGGACTCAACAAGTTTGGAAACGAAACCTCTGCGTGTTTCGGTTGTTCCCAGAAAGGGCCTTATCCCCAATCACTATGGCCACCGTCGGAGAAGGAGAGTGAACTCCTGTCGGCAGCTTGGTCGGAGCTGCAGGGGCTGTCTTCTTATCCTCTTTCTTTGCCAAGGCGTCTTTTGCACTGGGCGGCGTGGAGTTGTCAGACGCCGGCTTGTACTTCGACAAGAACTGCAAGGAAGGGATCTCTCGGTCCAAGTCCTGCGCCCAACCGATTCAACGTGGCCCTATAACATCACCCGTGATTAGGACAGCGTGACTGATGCCAACAGAGAACCTTTAAACTTGTCCAGCTATTTCGAAACAAAACTTCCCTAGAGCCACCTTCGGTGGGATAGAGGCGGCCAACTTCTGCAGAGAATCCGAATGCTCTTCATTGAAATCATCATAAGAGATCTCGGTGTAACCTGTGATGTCCACGCCTAGTTTCAATGAACTCAAATCGACAAAGATACGCTTGGCAAGGGCCGAAAGAAGGGGCTCACTGTAACTTGCAGCACCTCTTTAGTAATCCCAATCATCCGCATGCGGAGAAGTGCTCGAGCACATGCCGCAAAGTGCCAGAACCGCGTGCAAGAAAAGCACCAAATGCGAAAGTAGCCGAAATGCTTCTTGTAAACAGGAATGCTCCTCCCCCACATTCCTCGAAACATGCGCCCACACACCAAGACCTCGATTGAAAAGATGCAGCAACTCATCCGGAAGTGTGTCCCGTCCATACAGTCGTTGTAGATCCAAAGATTTCTGCCGTAGATTCGGCTCATGCAAGTTGGAATCGTTTGGGTCGCCCACCAGCACACGAAAGTTGCTCAACAAGAAAGAGCGCAAAGACGAGTTCAGTTCTTCCACATATTGTGGGACTATATACTTGTACCACCGGACAAGTGCAGCACATAGATCGGAATTGTCCACTGGGGCAGAAATTATCTCGCCAACTAATGCAACTAAGACCACCAGGTTAGCCACGTGCGATGCACACCGGACACACCACAGTCGCAAATCAACTCGTGCGCCGTGGTGGGATGCATTTTGCGCAAAGAAGGAGAACATCTTCTTGGCTGAGGCCAAATTTGTATTTATCCCGTCCCCAGTCAAAATGTAAATCAATCTCAGAGTTTGCGGAGGCCTTGTCGCAGGCTGGTCAAGCAGTGACACTATCACGTTCTTGGCAGTGTTTACTATAGCCTGCCCTATAGTATCAGAGTCTTTTTTTCAGCAAAGGTTGTAATTCTGTGAAATATTCTATGGTCTTTCCACTGGGAAACTTCACACGCACAACCTCGTTCTGGACCTTGGAGTACCTCGCTCTCAGAGTCCGACCCACCAGCTCCGAGTCAAAAGAGCGAAGCTTCAGGGAGGCTTCATCATGCAGATGAGAAACAATGATGGCCGGCGCTTTTCCTGATTGACTCTGCCAAATTGTTGAAGCCTCAAAGGTCAACTCTGCAACATTACCTCTTTTGATTATCTCTGTGAAGGCATCCCTCACTTGGGTGATGTACGTTCTGGACAGAACCTTAGCTTCCTCAACCCCAAAGTCTTTGCACAACTCACTGAGGGACTGTGGGGGGGATATTGGGTGGAGCCAGTCCAGCCCTAATACACCATACATGCTGCACTCGCCCAGCTAGTTTTTTCACCTTTGATCAAATCTACTTCAGCTTGCAGCTTCTTGCACTTGTGCCGCAGCTTTGCGCAACGAGACTGAAATTGTCGCACAGTCAGCGAACTTCTCAACTTACGACGCTTGAAGGCATCCAAGTTCAAATCATGCCGCAAAACTTCAATCAGCTCCCGTGATTTCTGTATTGATCGCTCAACGTGTGCCAAAGGATGCGATGTAGCATTCTGAACAAAAGCTTGCAGCAAGTTCTGAAGCTGCCACGCTTGTAAACGCACATTGTCCGACATGGGCGGTCATAAAAGGAAATCTGAAGATACAAAAATGAAAGGCTTCTCAAACATTGAACAGACAACATTCAAAGGCTACATTGTTTTGTCATGTGCCGAAGGGCCAGCAGTTAGCTAGTCCAGTGATCACTTGAGTCACTCTACTTAGGTCACCCTCTCCTTCTGGACGCCAACTAAAACTCAGACACAGCATTGAACCTTAAAAGGCTGCCTATCACATTTGAGCCTGAAAAGGCTGCCATCACATTTGAGACTACACTAACCGGGTTGTACCCAGGTGCAAGACACAATCTTTGATTCCTTGAAGGCCTGTGTGATTTGCAACCTAAAAGACATGTGTTTATCCACTTCAGCTTTGGCCTAGCCAGTGACAAAGACATAAAGAACATACAAGAGAACAAAGACACTCCTTTCGAGTAAGCTATTTGACAAGCATGAAGGGCTTGTAAAACGGGACATGGTGGACCAGGGTCCAGGTCTTGACCCATCCCCACATCGGCGTGAAATGTTCTAAGGGTCTAAGGGTCAATGATGGTCAATGTAGGTCCAGATTCCACACATGGATGGCCCAGGGAATGTTCGGAAACGATGGTCCTGTGGTGATATCACGTTCCATTTTGGGTTCCTTCCAAAAACGCACACATACGATCTTTTTGCAAGTGGCTCCCACCAGTGGTCTCTGTCTTCTCCTGATCGCCTCAAGCCCCTGATTGCCTCAAGCCCCTCCCATGTGGATGGGTCAAAACCTCTTCGGCGAGAAAACCTAAGAGCCCTAACATCAGGTATAAGCTGTATAGCTTGACCTCCCAGGTAGGTCAACCTATTCCTCCGGTCTTGACCAACAGCCATTTGAGCTGAGCCAACCATGCCCTGTCGGGAGAGATCAATCCAGGTCTCGTGTTCACCCGCTCTTCATGTTGCAGTGGCAGCTCCACCGGCCCATCGACAAACCTTGGCTCCCACCGCAAACAGCCCGCAGCTGCGGGCCGTGCATGGCCATGCTCGTCCGAGTCCTCCCAAGATGGTCCAACCCCATTCCTGGACCCCCAGTCGGGGTGGTGAATGGACACCCCGAATGACCTCAAAGGGGGGCTATTAAGGACACCCGCGTTCTTTCCGTGGTGCTGGTTCTGGCCCATTCTCCTCGCACTTGTCCCAAGCTGTTGAAGCAGGCCCCAAAAAGTGACCCTCACTGCCAGGTCTTCCGACAAGGCTTGGGACGGGCCCATGCACGGGTGTAGCTACACGAATCACATGAAGACAGGTTTTGTTCCAAAGCCGGTGTGTTTGGAGTGAGGGGGCGCGGAGCCGCTCTCCGCTCTCCCCGCGATGCCGGCCGTGTCGCACAAAGTCCGCACAACTCGCGCTCTTCGCGATGAGTCCTCGATGTTGGACCGATGAGGCTGAGGCCCCGCAGGGACTCGTCGGGCAAAAAGGGACATCCCAAGGGTTACCTACCGCTTCCAATGGGTGTCCAATGGTGACCTCTAAGCAGTGAAGGGTTAACCCCTTCGAAGCAGCTGGTAGTTGGGTGTTTTTTCTCCTGGACACCCTTCATTTCAACACATCTCACTGACCTCCTTAGAGCTATCAATAAGACACACCGATTGGCCGGGGGACGGGAGCTACAGCTCGAACATGCATGGAGGTATATGGATGTTGGGTGGGGGCCATTAATAGACACTCCGAATTTCACCACTTTTGGGGGGGAGGACTATATATGAATGGATAGGTTTTAGGGTTTAGGTCGTTGAGCGCTTGCTTCCGCTGTCATTCTTCTTTTCGTGGTGGGGGGGAACCCACGTGACGTGGAAGGAAAGGGTCGCTGGATTTTGGAGGGTCCCGGAGGGTACCTGACTGATCCGATGTTGCTTTGGAATCCAGCTGGTTGGCGAGTTGGCGGGGAGCGACTGGGGGGGGGCGGTATGCTGGGGATTTGGAGGAAGCCGGCGTGAAGGTCGTGAAGGCTCCAAAACAGTGGAACTCAGGAAATCCAAATCCAAATGGAGTGATATATGGCTGTGGATCAATATCCGGATACTCCCAGAATCATGTAGACTCTTGATTCATAAACCCCCTCAGGACTTCCAATTCGAATGGGAAGGGTTGATGAATCAAGGGTGTATACATGACCTTGCTTGACCTATCTGGAAGATCTGGAAGGTCAAGTTACGTAGCTACATAGTACATGGACCAGTTTTTGGACCCATCCTGTCCCCACCGCACCTCTGCCATGTCGAACTCGCCCAGGCGATGGCTGACAAACGCCAATCCAGGTGTTGGAGGGATGATGAGGTCCAAAGAGCTCAAGTGACCTGAACTAGGACCCGGAGTTATGTGGGGTACCTTAACATAGGAGAGTCGCTTCTTCCAACCTCTGGATCATCCTCCCAACCTTTCGATGCCTGCGCACGCCGTCCCCGGCGAGTCGTGGGGCGTACCGCTCCGGGCGGCGCTCGATCTTCCCCTGGAAGGTCGCCGAGGTCTGACAGCGCCCGTGGAGGCACAGCAGCCGCAGCTTCGGCCGCGAGGCCATTGGGATGCCGAAGTGGGTGGGAGGGGGGAAGGTCGGACGGTGATGATGGGGTGAAGAGGTTCCAAAGCGGAAGAAGGGACGGGTGACTTGTTCTGACCGCCAGGGCTGGAAACTGGACGGTCGACCCCTGGTCGACCCAATGAAGGTCAGGTTACTTAGTAGAACACCTGTGACAAGAGTTCCCAGACAAAGCACCTGTGGATCTGCCAGCTGTTATCCTTGACAGAAGCTAAGCTTTGCTGCTTAGAGGTTTATGGCCACTCAGTGGCCACTCACTCACTAGTGGTCCCAGTAGAAATGGACTGATTATCTGGAGGGTTGAAGTCATCTGAAGCGTTGGAGGTGGCGGGTTAAGTCAAATTTCCTGTCAAAATACCTTTGCACATGAGCTTCCAGGATGCATTGCTGGATGTTCTCCACATTGACATACATTGACTGTGGAAAAATCTATCCTGGGAATTGCCCTGTAGGTTCTTTCAAGGAACACCATCAATATCCCTCAATGTGCTAGTCTTGCCCCCCTCAAAAGCCGACCCAAGCTGATCGCTTGATTCAATCACACGGGTAGAGCGAAGTGAGCCAAAGGGCCGCGAAGTGGCCGCCCCCCGGCGGCCTCGCCAAATCACATGATCCAAAGAAAACGGAAAACGGGCCATGTTGAGCCATGAATGAAAGATCTTCCAGGATCATCAGCCGTCTTTGTTGGGCCCTCAGCCTCATCTAGGATATTGGTTGCAGTACTCAGGAATACTGAGGCCATGCCATGTCTGTCATGTCCTTCGCGGAAAAAAAACACGTCCCCCAAACAAACAGTTCACACTTCCAGGGCGATTTGGAAGATTGGTGCACCAATGTGAACCAGTATCTGCCAGGTGGGGAATGATGGAGGTATGTTTGTGTCGTGGAGTCTTAGCAACCTAGATCCCCTATCCAGCTCACTTCGGCCATCTGTTTCTCCGTGCGACCTCGGGCGTGAGTCCCAGCTGCTGGTCATAGACCTTGGCAGCTTCGAACTTCTCTTCCATGGAGGAGAGATACTCCTTGGCACATCCGGCGTGACAGGGCCAGTGGACGGGTCAAGTTTCGGCAGGAGCTGACCCGACAGGGAGTTCGACAGGGAGTTCGTCCGAGTGATTGTTTCCAAACAGGAAGACTCAGTGGCTATAGAACCCGACAAAAATGGTTCACTCATGTTCACTTGTTGCAACCAGGGCCTTCCAGCTACATCTTGAATCATCGACCACAAGTCATGAGACGATTTTCCCTGAAAGGCATGCCTTCCTCTCATGACTTTGGCCACGGACCCGGGCGCCGCTTTAGGCGGGCGGAGTTTGGCGCTCCAAAACCAGCAATTGTTTAGATCCCCAAAAGCTTCCACAGAGGGTCAAGTACCTTCTGAGGTCTTTTTCATCCCAAAAAAGGGGATGAATACCAAACTAATTAGGGTGTGTTTCATGGGTTGTCACTTCCCTTGGATTCTGAAAACTTCCCGCGGAAGAAGCTCTCCCACCCTCTTCCCGCGGCGTCACGCCTTGAGCGCGGTCAGGAGCTTCTGTCGCTGGAGCTCCGACTGCTGAAGCTCCTTCTTGGCTTCCCGGAGCTGTTGCCCCAAGGAGGCCTCCAGGGGGTAAAGGATGGTGAAGGGACAGAGGGGCACAAAGGACTGGGTGGACTGGGGGACGTTGTAGGTCGGGTCGACGACCTGGGTGAAGACTTCTGGAAGGAAGTGATCAGACCTGGTTGAACCGACAGTGATACTGATACTGGATCGATCTCAGATGCTGCTGTCTGCGTTGGGGCCCCTGAAGCCGATTTAGATGATCCAGTGTATGGTATATATGGTATATATACCTAGAACCAGGTCGTGACCTCTATTTTGGACCACCAACCACCCAAAAGATTGCCTTTTCCTATCAAAATAGAGGTCATGTCTGGGTTCTAGGCATATATATATATATACAAAGGTGTGTTCTCCAAACAGGGACCGTTTCGATGGGCGCGGGCGCAAAGCGCTTCCACCCGAGTTTTTTCGTTTTTGTTCCGACCCGTGAACGATGTGCTTTCGCATGCTTTCGCCAGCTGAGCGAGTTCACGAGCTGAGCCCAGGACATGCACGGCATCCTTCTTGGCCAGTTGAGCTGAGACCTCCTCAACTTGCAATCGCAACGACCTGAGCTGAAGAGTCAGTCCCACCCAGCGACGCGCAGGGCGGGACTCGCGGAGTCCAGCCAGGACTCGTTCTTGGTTTGGGCTGGTTAGTGGTGGATGATGACATATATTTGATGACTCCCAGGTGGAGTAAAACGAGTCAACACAGAAGTTTAGGGGATAGAGGCTGGTGGTGATTGATTCATCCTCACCCCTCTGGCTGAATTCGGAAAGCCCTCCTTCAGGGTGCTGCGGCCTCACTTCCACTTCATCGACTCATTGATCAACGCCAGCGCACGTCCAACAAAACGAAGCAGTATAGTCAACCTGGTCAACCTGGAATTGATAGAATATGGGACAATCCCTGAAACAGGAAACTGGTTGTGTCTTTGTGAGTCGTCCCACGGCCCCGAGACGTCTCCCGATCGACCTGCATCGGAGACGGAGGTCTCTCCGCCCGCGACCGAGAGACCGGAGCTCGGATTCTCGATCCTGAAACTGTTGCCTTGCACTTGCTTCTTGCCCTGGGCGATGCCATCAAAGACTTACCGGCGCATGAGTTCTGGAACTGAGGAGAGGTTCGAAGCTCCATTGGCCAAAGAGGTCCTCCCAAGACACATTGGGATCGGGTGGAGAGTGTTGTCCAGACCAGAATTAGACCCATCTGTTTGGGCTCATGAACGGCCTAGACCGGTCACCGGGTTGAACAGGAACTGTCAGACGTTTGGTCGGGCTCACGATGGCCTTGAGGGTGGCACCTTCATCCTCTGAATCAGCCATGGCACTCTTGGCGGAGACGAGCTGTGCCTTCTGCTCCACTTCAAACCTCCGGAGCGACCGGAGCACCGCTTCAAACACCAAAACCGGGGTCAACTGCCCCAGGTCGCAACACTTGAAACCAACGGCAGCTCGCCAGCTGGCTCTGAGAACTGGATTGGCTGAGTGAATTGGGTTCTGTCTCTGTTGCCGCCCACCACATGAGTGCCAAGAGATGCTACGAGTGAACAAAATGTTCGAGTATGGCTAGATGGGTGGAACCAAAGACATTTAGCATCCAGAAGTGTGGGTGCGCACGAGGCCGCACTTGCACCATGCTGGTGCCTATTCTAGGCATGCGATTCAATTCGAGACCCTCCTCAAATCGGAGAGCCAAGAGCCAGAACCATCCTGAAGGTTCAGAGGCTAAAAGCAGGTGGAATAATTTCTTAGATTCTCTTAGGGATTAGGGGCTTGGTATGTCCTCTGACCTAGACAAGCTTCGGATGCCAGTCACTCTCGCACGGTCCGCACCTGTTTTCCCTAGGGTTGATTCCACTAATTGATTCCCTATCCACCATTTCCAACTAGATGTATGCGGCATGACTGCGGCATGCTCAAACGCCAGTGACACGATGACATGCACACCCAAAGACATACATCGGTCTTGCGACCACCCATCCACGTCCTTGTTGACCCATCGTGGCCAAATCGTGGTCCATTGGGAGGTCAGAAGCTCAGATTTGCTCAAGGAACCAGGAAAAATCAAACATATTCCCAACCAGTTCAGGAAAATAAAGAAAGCATCTTATAATAAGATAAGCAAACCATGGAAGGGATCGCCATCGCCATCAGTCCGAGGATCTGTGAGATTTGCATCTCCCTCTCCTTGACCTTCCACAGGCTCGCCCGGGCAGAGGCCAGCTGCTCGCTCAGCGCGCTGGTCTGCTCCCGCAGCCGTCCGACCTCCTCAAGTGGGGCGAACCGTTGCAGAGCGGCGACGAAGGTTCGGGTCCGTTCCAAGAAAGCATCGACTCCTCAAATTGAGCTGACAGATTCCCAAACAAAGAGCTAGCCAGCTCAAATCCAGAAGTTAGGAGGATTTCAGAAAATACAATTAATACATGGAGTATCATAGAGTAATGAACATTGTAGTGTCCACCAGAACCCATCCAACGGATCACCATGTGAGAACATTCACAGTCAGGTACTGGCACAAAAACCTCATGTTATACACCAAGGAAGACTAGCTTCCTCGACAAAACTATACAAAGCTATACAAAACTAGTGGTTTTGGGGTTCCATGTGGTTGTGCCAGGGAATATCGATTCAGCTATATTTCTATAGTGTCCAACCGCCCTCCAGGCCGTTCTTTGAAGAACTCGCCTGCTCTTCGCTGAGCAGCGCTTGCGCCAGCTCTTGCTGCTCCTCCATGCCCAAACCACCAGCTCGCTCTGGTGCCGAGCTCCGCCCCTCGCGGGCACCGCCTCCGTGAACTCACGACGCGGGCACCGCGTTGGGATGGATCTCATGTAGACTCCAAGGCTCCATTCAGAACACCCAAGGCTTCGGTCCTATGAAGAGGTGGAAACACTCCAATTTCGCGGGATGCATCAAGAATTTTGGGGGATTCATCAAGAATCTACCATGCTCCAAGTGTCACCCCCTTGGTGCTTTAAGTCCCCGAAAGCGCCGGGGAAAACGGGACGCCGCCGAGGTGCTGCGCCCGCTGCGTGCGCTGCGCGCGGTACGCTGCAGCTCCTCTACCTGGCAGTCGGGTCCGACTTGGTGTTGTAGTCTAAGATTGTACCCAGACGCTCATGGGCCCTCATATGGAGGGGTCGGACCCTCATATGGAGGGGTCAGGGGTCTCAAATCCCTAGGTTTTGAGAGACCAAGGGCTGTTTGGAGCGTCTGGGTAAGACTCAAAAACCATGGTTCTGTGGGGGGATGTGGGGGGTTCGTGTTGTCAAAAAGATTTGCTTCATTCAACCATGATTCTACAAACTCTATGGAGGCACTGGATTTGTTTTTAAGGGTCCAGGCACTGAAGGGTCTATGGCGGCGCACTTTGAACATCGATCGATTGGAGCTCCATGCTTCGACACCTGTTTAAAAGAACCATCTGTTGGCTTTCATTCAGTGGACCAAAAGGTATGGGACGTGACTAGGATTCTTGTTGCAAAGGAACCCATCGAAAAGCAAAAAGGCAAATTGGCAGCTCAAGACCTCAGCCGACTCGGCTTGGGAAATGGCTGCTTGATCTTCCCAGATGCTCCGTGAGTTCACAGCCTGACTTCTGGTCCCTCAAAACCTACAAATTGGTTTCGAAAGTCCAGACCCCTCCATATGAGGGTTAGAGAGGGTTCGACCCCTGCTATGGAGAGTCCAAGGATTCCCCTGCTTGTTTGCGGGTGCACTCTCGAACGTTCCCTTCAGTCGTTGCCTGGAACGGATGGAGGATACAGACGGCTCACGGCTCATGTGCCGAGGCAATCGTGGTTCATAGGGACTCTCGGACGGGGGTGTCTTCTCTCGTGGTTCAAAGGCGTCCATTGAGTCTGGTTTCTTAGTCATTCTTAGTCTTCATCCTGGACCCTCCAAAAGGGGTATCCACTCAAAGAACCCGAAAGCTTCCATGGAGCGATGGGGCAACTCGGGCAACTCAGTGGACCCCCTTTCGAGGTGGATCCTCTAGCGTGCGAAAAAAAGGAACGGCCCACGGATGTCCTCTGCTCGGCGGCTTCGCCCGCCCTCGCCCACTTCGCCTCCTGCGCTAAGCGTTTGCATTCCACGTCGCAGCCCCAAACCGCCGCCAAGCCGTTCATTACCTCGGTGTGGAACATGGGTTTTTCTGCACCCTCGCACCCTGGTTGACCGAGAATGAACCGATTCCTCCAAAAGGGATGCCAAGTTCAACCTACCATGGTTTGGTTGGGAAGGTGACTCACAGCATGCCGCTGGTGACTCTGAAACCATGACCAAAATAGGAGCTGCCAGCTGCGGCAAAGCCGCATAAGCAAACATCATGCGACACGAAGCTGCTTGAATCAATGGGCAATTGTTTACAGAATATATCAGAATATATACATTTGACGTGTGTAATTACAGTAGCATTGCAATCAACAAAGGGTCATTATATACAGTATATAGTAGTTTTACACAAATAAATAAGCAATAAGTATACATCAATAAGGCTCAACACCTCCAGAAAAACAAAAGTTGGCACCCAAACAGTTGCGGTCTTCTCTTCGTCCAAGTGTCCGCCTCCGCCATGCGTGTCAAAGGTGGCGACAGGCGACTGGGCAGCTCTGGAGGAAGCGGCCAGGGCTGCTGCTGTGCGATCGCCAAGACCAGCTCCTGTGGCGCAGAGCAAAGAGGTAGTGGAAAGAATGGCCGCTTTGGCACAAATAACTCAAAAAACTAAAAAAATGCCAATCTCAACACATGAATTTATATTGTATAGATCGATAAATACATATATCTCCCTCAACCTAAATTAACCACAAAGGGGTGTGCTTGTGCTTCGTTTGGATGGGAGACGGCTGTGCCACAATGCATACCTCACAACACAAAAAGTTGCATCTACACAGCTTGCAGGATGCCTGCTGCCAGATATGACCACTTACCAAAGTCTTTACGACACGTGATCTGCTTCGGTGCAATGGCGCATCCAAGATGAGAAGAGAAACTCAAACATAATTTACTCTATATGCACCCATATAGTAATATAATATATGTCGTGCATTTCTGGATCCCAATCCCAGCTTGATCCAGCTTGGCTACTTTTAGCCAGGCCAAGCCCAAGTTCACTCTCCACTGATGTTCGATGCCGCTCACGGCGCCAGTCTCCTCTGACCATTGCTCCCAGCTCAGGCAGAAGCTTTCCTGACAACGATCTCAAATCTCAGGCCACTTACTGAGGCCATCTTCTAGACCTTGCCTAACTATCTATCTATCTATATGTTTTCTGTGCATATACGTATACGTATGTGTGTGTATGTATATCATGTATGTATGTAATGTAATGTCATGTCATGTCATGTAATGTAATGTAATGCATGTATGTATGAATGTATGTATGTATGAATGTATCTATCTATCTATCCATCCATTAATCCATCTACCTACCTATCTATCCATACTTCCATCCATCCATCCATCCATACATACATCTACCTATTGAGAGAGAATGGCCATCATCGCTTGGGCCGAACGCACTCGCCGCTCGCCTCCACATCCGCGGCCTCCGCTTCGGCCACGCGCCGCCCCTGCGACGCCGTGCGTGGCGGTCCCTCCGCACGGCGTGCGCGGTCGGCGCGCATGGCGCGGAGTGCCCGGTGGTCAAGGACTTCTCCGAAAGGATTGAAAAAAAAGAAGGGAACCTGCACAGGGACCTATGGCAATCATGTGGAGTCATGATGCTTTCACTGGGCAACCTGCGGCAATGGAATCATCGATAGATCATCTAGAATCACTGACTCGGGGCATGTTTTCATGTATCATGTAGTTTCGAAGTTCAGTTCTCCTGCTTTGACCGCTTTGAGGTCGAGTCTAATGTAGTCTAGGCTCAGTGGGGGGGACAGGCCCCTTTCATATCTACAAGGACTTCGGACATGGGTCATGATTGGCTGGTGTGTTTTCGTGTCCCTTCTTCTGATGTCTGATCCAAAATCCAAGTTGTATTTCGGCCAAGTCGAGATCAAGGCGACCCCCCCTTTCCCCAAGACGTCAACGAACAACAAACCCGAGTTGGTCCGAAAGTCCTGCCATGATGTCCCATGACATTGCCCGAGTTCTCCCGAAGCATTTTGCCTGGAAGATAGGTGGCTATAGGACAACCAATGCCAACAAAAATGCCTTGAACCAGGAGTCACAAGATGGGGTGGTTTTTGGTCAGTGAGTGGATGTGACAGGGGCATCCCATCAAACCCCCCCGACTTCGGATAGGCACCCCGGTTGCCACGTGACTCCTGGAAGGATGTTACAGGTGATCCACCCGACTCCTTGGACTTCAGGCTATCACATCTGTTCGAGTCAGGGCCGACCTCGGATCACTCACGTCCCGTTGGACCTAGGTCACCGGTCACCGAAAAGGGACGTTCACCGGAGAAAAGGGACCACACTAATATATACCCTGGGAGTCAAAGACCATGAAAAGGAATGGTCTTTATGGTATCGGAAAGGGAAGGTCGTTTACTTCACTGAGGGAAAGTAGTCTTTGGACTTCTAGGGTATACCTTTCGGTTTCGTCTAGTTTCGTACAGCTTTGTGGCACATACACGCATCCGCCCCCCCCAAAAAATACACCAAGAACACCCCGCAGAGCCACGGACCGACACCCATGGACTGCAACACGACCGGACCCAAGGCAAACCCAGTAAGAGCTGTTTCGGGGGAATGGCCTCGTGAAACGGAGACCACCCGAAAGCGCCATGTGCCAGGAGAGTTCAAGCCATGTGCCAGGTCGAATCGCTCAAGGAACAAATGCGCTGAAAAATCAAGGAACAGCACGAAGGACGGCTTTTTTATGGCTCGCGCCTGGCAGGCCTGTCCACAAGAGCAATTTCGCTTGAAATCACCCATCACAATCTCATTGGGCTCTGATATATCTCGGCAGTAAAGAGCAGCCCTGCCTGGAGGCAAGCTAAACCTGTTTAAATTGCGACCATCCCATCATCAAAACCCAAAGAGGAAAAGCTACCGCCGGCCATAAGTGAAACAGGGGTTGCGTTAGATGTTATTCTTGATCCCGCTGGAACGATTCCAGCTCTATTTTTTCCACCCATGGCGTTACTGATTGAACTCATGCCTTGTGCATCCCCTAAAGTGAAACGTCTGGACTAAATCGTCCCGCACGTTCACCGCTCAGTTGCTAATCCCACTGCCATCTCAGCATCATGCTGAGTATGGGGATGGTCCGATGCCTTCTGCAATCTCCTCTTGTGCAACCTCGGCTGAAACATGCAACAGGCACAAAACACACGCCACGAAGTAGTGCAAAACACTGTGTTACAACACTAAGGTCCTATTCACTGAGTAGTGCAACTCTGAGTTGCTTCACAATCAATGTCCTATTTCTGGATAGTGATGGTCAAACTTGTTATTTGCAAAAACGAGGCATCTAGCAGCATCCAGCACCAATTCAGAACGGTCAAACTTCCTCCTTCATGGTTTTGACTTGCTTCGCTGGTATGGGAAATTCCTCACGTGTTCGGCTGGGAAAGACCTGAGGCGCCCCGCTTCGAGCGTTCATGTTTGTCCTTGACCTCCTGTGAGGAGAAGAAGCGATTGCCTGGCAGAGTCTACGAATGTCCATGTGAGTCGACGAATCCCAAGCCCCCACGTGGCGTTCAATCGGCAGGATCGCGCCGTCTTCCTGCGGTTTGAGTCGTAGCTCATTGTCTTCCCCTATGAGAGCAAGATCTCCCACCTACAGTATATGATGGAACATGGAGGTCAAAAAAAAAGCCAAGAAGTGGATCGCCAAAAGAACTTGCTGGTGAGATCTACATATTCTACCTCAAATATCCGTCAAAGGCGGTCATGGTTTGTTGGTCCACCACACCTAGAAACATTAACAATTTGCTTGAATTGCTCAACATGTAAGGACATTCAGCTGGAGAGGCAGTCCTAAACCTGATATATATATACCATTGTACATGTTTATTTACAAGGCCAGTCACAGTGTTGATGCAAGAGACCTCCTGTTGGTCACCAAAGAAACACACACCATCACCTCTGCATTCTCGCAGAACAGTGTAATCAAGCTCGCCAAGCAAACAAACACTTGATGAGTTATAGAAAGTGTTGTATCTAACGATCGGTGAGAACAAATCATCTCTGTATATATCTCTATCACTAGCATCACACTCCCAGACAGAGTGCCAGCTCCACATCTCCACCCAGTCTTCCCCACCGCCCGTCTTTCTTCGCCCGTCTTCTCGGCTCCCTGGCATGCGATGCAGTAGAACTGCCCCATGCCAGGCCTGATCCGCTCCGGGCAATCCGGGCGACCCTTCGTTGAGCCCCGTGACCGGCGGTGATGCACCGTGGGCAAGCGTGGTAAACGAGACGTGAAAACGAGACGTGACCGTTTGGGTTTCTACGAAAAGAAGTTCTTGAAAGAGCTAGTGGCCCAGGGATGTGCATCGACTTGCTGACAGCTGGATGAAGTCTTCTCTAATCGTTCCATGTTCCTGTCCCTTTCTACTGTAGGTCTCCTCGGGCGTTGTGAAGCTGCAATCATTGGGCACAAACCCAGTGAGACAACAAGGGCTAAGAATCACTCTAGAGATCTCGAGAGAGAGAGAGAGAGCGGTACCATCAGCACGACGTTATCCACTCCAATTCCAAATCGAGCACGGTGACCGGTTTTTTATGTACAACATTTCATATGGAAAATGAAAAAACTTATCAATTGGTTCTTCTTTCCTTCCTTCCTATTTATAGATGTTTGCTTCATGTGTTCTTTCTGAATCGGCTTCTTTCTTTTCTATTCTGTTCTTTCTCTGCTGAACCGCTTCGCACATTCACCCCAAGAGGGAGTGAACATGTGGACCCCCATCATCTAAAACATCTGGATTCTTGCGCCATCTGCTCCCCGAAGCGATTTGAAGATCTGCCAGGGATACTGTTCGATTCTTTTTGATCTCTTCACTTGGGAAGATCTTGGAAATGAACCAGCCCACACATAGCGCCTTCTCAATCCCAGTGCAGCTCTCCCTCCTTCTGCCCAAGTGGCAAGTCTTCGTCTCGCGGCAGTGCGCCCGGCTGGAAGTTCTCCGGCGCCTGGCTGGTCCGAGCGACTCGGCGCCTCGGCGCTCACGTACCCCGACGTGTGCCCGAGGCGCCGATCGATGGAAGGTTCCATGGACCCAAAGGCTCATTTGGACCCTCAGTTCGCTAGGGTTTTGACATGACCACGTTCGCAGGGTTTTGGACCTCCAACATGTAGCAGTTGCTTCGGGTCCAGGGTCGCCTCTGGAATCGAAAAGGAGGCATCCGACTCGTGGGACCCTCCGAATCGGATCGCCGGTCGTGGTCGTGGTGGTCGTGTGGTCGCCGATTGCTGGTTCGTGTAAATAGATGCTCCATGGGACTGGAATAGTTACTTACATTGGGCATTGGGGTCATAAATGGGGTAAATACCTGGACCCTCCTGTTCGGGGTGTCCAATGGACTACCCCACACTACCTATAGGCTTCCATTGGGCACCCCTTGGAGGGTCCTGGTATATTAATATGTAACTAAAAGACTATTCTATTCCGTACAGTGTCTGGGCATGGTCGAATGCATGACAAGATCCATCAATCCCAGCCGAGGAGATCCGCGGGTCAGAATTCCGAGGATTTCCTCAGAAAGCTCAATGTTTATAGAGAGAAAGCAAAGCCCTCCATGCACTTGAAGAGTGGCGAACATGACTTCATCAACAATCGGAAAGAATAAACAACCAAGGCCCAAGGCCCCTCACATTTTCACAGCTGTTCATTGAGAAGTACCTGGTCATGTTCTCAAATGATCTACACTTGCGTTTGTCGTGTTCAGGATAAGATGTTTGGCCAAACATGTGGTGAGAAAAGTTGAAAGCAAATCTTGTCCGTGCCTTCAAATCTTCATGTACCTGGTCAATGTCCTTGTTCCGCCTCTTCTTCGCAATCACGGAGGCCCTTGCGGCAATCGCTGGGGTTTTGAGCAAACACCGAGAAAATGATAGAGGCACATAATATAGAGATGGGGGGACAATAGAATTTCATTGGTCTCCTGAAACTTCTTACTGCTTTGATCCGCTTTGCCGCGTAGACCACGTTTTAAAGCCATTCCTCTGTGAGGTACCCCATTCCCCGCTCAAAAAACTACCTGGAGGTGTTCCCCCACTCTTTTCCAAGGCCAATCTCCAAGTGGAGCCATTCAAAGCACCATCCGAGTTGTGGCGCGACGGTTCACGGCCCAGGTAAAGCGAAAGAACCCAGATTGATTGACTCAGATTGACCATTGTTGACCCCTGACTTCCAGGTCGGGGGAGCGTCTCCCCCTGGACCTCCTTTTTGCCCCACATCCTCAGAAGGGTCCGCCTACGGTCGCGTCGTTCCTCGGATCGCTCCCCGCCAAAAATCCCGTCGCCGAGCTCCGGGGGCGAACGAACGCGGCAGCGACCAAACGTTTTGGGCGAGTTGAGCGGGTCCAGCGGGCGAGTTTTGATCGGAGATGATCGACTTGAGGCCAGGGGGAGAGGTCGAAAGCTAGCCGAATCGCACCGGATGTACTAGTTACATAGTCGGCAAAGCATGTAGGGATTACATGTTTTGGGAGGAAGGTTGCTATGTACATACTTTGCGCTAAAGAATGTAAATGTGACATCGCTGACTGGGAAGG